ATTAAAATGTGATACCATAATCTTGTCTTTGGTCTATCATTTTTGTTAATATACTAAAAGCTTAAACTGAAATAAACCTAGAGATCGGAATAACATTTTAAAATATAAAATTTCCGCTGCTATTACGGCCGAAGCATCAGTTATGTCTGTAGCAAAAATCCGTGAGGGTCAATTATCAAAACGAACAAGTAGAGATCAGAAAAAAAAATCGCGTTTAGGAAATCTCTGAGAAGAACTGAATTGGGCAGTGTATTCCATCGGTTTTACAAACAACACAAAAAACAAACAAACAAACAAACAAACAAAAAACCCAGAGAGAACCGTAATTAACACGCACATGGTGTAGATGTCCAATTACAGGTAGCCAGTAACAGAAACATTTAACTGGACATTTCTAACTGGATAGCCGCAATTGGACACTCATGAAATCGCGCGCTATATACCTGACAATCGGGCGCATGGAGAACCAGTCATAGTTGGAAATTTTTGTTCAGTATCGATACGATTAAGCAAAATTTTGGTAAAACATGGCGGGCTTTTAGGTGTCTTTTTAAATTCAAATGATCGGCCCTGTCGGTATCATGTTGACGCCCTTCCTTTTAAAAATATGATACTTCCGGTTGACATTGACGCAACAACATCGTAGAGCACTCTCCAATTCCCCCCCCNAAAAAAAAAAAAAAACTACAAAGAGTAACGTTAAAATTTCATGGCTGTTAGTAAATCCCGAAAGTAGCAGCACTGTGAAATCGGAAAGTAGCGACTGACTATTTATGCGAAACAATGAAATAACAGATATAGATAGGCCAAGCTGAACAAAAATGATGTTTGCTTTCAAAGACCCTTGACTGTGTTTGGTGTAGCGTTAACTTTTTTCAGCAAGAGTTATCTCTATTTTAAGAGACTAAAGGGCTAAAATGGGAACTGGAATCCGGAAAATGGGATTTGAGTCAGTGTCACAGGGAAATGGGATTTACGCCCCACCCCACACCCTTTCACCTTTCAGGACCCCTTCTTTCTCCATTTTGAGAACATGGATCGGTTCACGATTTTGCTTTCCGAAAGTAGCGATAGCAAAGGGCTGCCAAATTCGAAAGTAACAAGGGTCGTTACTCTCTGATCTTTATGGAAGTTAGACATGTTGAAAACGTGGCACTGGTCAAAGTCAAATTTGCTCCCTTTTCGAGTTTTAGGTGTTTCGTTTTCGCGTTCTGGGTGTTTCGTTTTCGTGTCAGTTGGAGTTTCGTTTTCGAATTCTGGGTGTTACGTTTTTGAGTTTTGGTGTTCGAAAAGCAGGTCTTCTCTTCAAAGAAGCCTCGTTTGGTCAGTGTGTCGATCTTTAAGACTGGGTTGAATTTGATTCCACGGTCAGAGCGGGTCAGTCTGGGGTTCATAGTTTCTTTCGCAGTCACTCGGGCCGAAGTCACGCAACGCAACTCAACGGGACGGGAAGCGTTGCGTGACTCAAGATCGCTGTATAGAGAAAGGTGACCGCTGGTGTGCAGGAACGAGGCTCGTTGACTTTTGCTTGCTTCCGGGACCGGAAGTTCGGATTTTGGTACAGAAATCACGACAATATGGCTTCTGAACAAGAACAAGAGCTGGGTTTATTTGAGTTGGCCAGTGCCAAATTATCCGATGCACAGAAGCTTATGGCAGAAGCTCGCGAATTACT